AAGTCAACTTATGGATGGCAGAATTTAGTCCCTTGATGTCACTGTTGAGCTACTTAGAAAGCTCATTCTGTGTCTAAATTATGTGAAATTATTTACCTGTTTTTAAGCTAATTTGAGTTGAGTTTCCTGATTCAGTGGAAAGTATCCTAATAGATACACCCCCTTTTGCAGCTGAGAACACTGAGGTTCAGAGAACCATAAACCTAAAAGGATGAGAAGAGGAGAAAACCACAATAAAATTTTGGAATTTAGCAGACCTCAAAAAATTTTGGAAGTACCCAATTTAGCCACCCAAGGAAGCTGAATTCTATGCCATCTGTGCTTGATTTATACCCCAGAGTCCCCCAAAGTCTCAAAATGGGGCACCATCAAATGAAGTGGAGTTAGCCACTTCATAATGATTGGTTGAAAATCATATCATGAAGTGGTTTGATCCCTACATCTTTTCCTTCCATGCAAGGTACCAGGCAACTGCCTCTAACCCCAGCAGAAGAGTGAGGGTGGTTCTCCAGAGAGAGTAAAACAGAGTCTTTGGCCTGGGTACAGTTGCTGGTAGAAGCAAAGGATTCAGTTGAGTGCTTGACTAAATGCGTAAGTTTCTGTCTTCCTTTACTTGGATAGCCAGGCTTAATCCTCCAAGAAAGAGGTAAGAAGGGTCTTAGCTGGGGTCTTCTTCCAGCCTGAAAGGATGAACGTGTCTAGCAATAAGGTGTCCTCAATGAAAAACCCAGCTAGATTATTCTACAGGAAATATCACTGTTGTCAAGTCCTATCAACACAGTCTTGGGTTTGAAATCAGCAATTTTAGTGCTTCATTCTTAAATATGAGCAAACAAACTGAGGCTCACCAGACATCTGGGAAACCTTCCCATATGAAACAAACAAACAAATAGGAACACCTGGGGGAGATAGAATATGCACAGGAGAAAAAAACCCTCAAAATAATCCCTCAATATCCTGAGAAAGACAGAGGCTGCATTCCTGAGAAAGACCAGGATTCCAGAAAAATGGAATATCTAGTAAGCAGAAAGGGATTCTTGAAATTTAGAAATAATAATATCTCTAAAAGATTGGAAGATAAAGAACTCTTCCAGATAATAGGTCAAAATGACAAAAATGGGGAAAATAGGAGACGAGAGTTAATATTAGAGAACTAGTGCAAGAGATCCAACATCCAGCTAATAGGAATTCCAAGTAGAGGAGAGAGCATGTGGTGGAGGAAATGACAAAATCAGGAACATTTCTCAGATCTAAAGGACATGAATTTGGAGATTGAAAGGGCTTACCTAGTGCCCAACATTTAAAAATGGACTCACAGTGAGAACACTGGGGACAAAGATCCTACATGGTTTGAAAGGGAAAGGAAAAACCATTCACATTCAAAGGGACAATAAGAGTAGTGTCAGACTTTTCAAAAGCAACATTAGAAGCTGGAAGACAATGAAGTAAATGACATCAGAATTCTGAAGGGCTCTCTCTGAAGGAGAATTAGTTTTGACCTAGATTTTTATATTTAACCAAACTATAAGAGCAAAGATAAAATGTTCAGACGTGCATAGTCTCCAAGAATTTACCCCTCATTCATATTTTCTTACCAAGCCACTGGAGGATATGCATTACCTAAACAAAGGAGTAAATCAAGAAGAGATACAGGCTATGTGGGAAACATGAGGTGCTCTGTAGGAGACAAGGGAGGCTGGTCCCGGGGCGACAGTGTGGAGGGCAGCCAGTCTAGAGTGGGCAGTCCTAAAGACTGGTGTAGAAATGTCTTCAAGAAAGTGAAATTCATAGCATAACTGAGGAATATAGAAACTAAGAGAAAATAAAGACATTTGGTAGGAAAGTTTGGCTTTGAATTAATGTTAAGTACATAGAAAATCAAGCAAATGAAAAAGAAATGACTGGGTGCTATGGCTCACGCCTGTAATTCTAGCACACTGGGAGGCCAAGGGGGGAGGATTACTTTAGCTCAGGGGTTTGAGATCAGCCTGAGCAAGAGTGAGACCCCCGTTTCTACTAAAAATAGAGAAATTAGCTGGGTGTCATGGTGCCTGTGCCTGTAGTCCTGACTACTTGGGAGCCTGAGGCAGGAGGATCGCTTGAGCTCAGGAGTTTGAGGTTGCTGTGAGCTATGATGATGCTAGCCAGGGCGACAGAGCAAGACTCTGTCTCAAAAGAAAAAAAAATTGCTAATTCTAGGAGTGAGAAGAATGTTGTTAAGGAAGGAAAGAAACCGGTCATAGTTTATGTGGGTAAGCAGTGGATAGCATTTCTGTTGTTATAATATAGACATTGAATATCAATCTAGCCATTACTGATATGATCATATTGGTAGAAAGGGAGGAGTGAAGAGGTGTGCAGGTCAGACCCTTGAATTCTCATCTGCCACAGTGTGAAGGCAATAGGGAATGCTTAACGCTGGAAAAAAAAATAGTTAAAGGAAGACGAATGCTAAAAGAATTGGCTAAGCAACTGTCTTTGGAGAACTAGGAGGGAGGAGGGCATGAAAACAAACCTGTGTAAGTGTTTGACATTTGGAGCTATGTGCATGCTTTATTTTGATAAAGATAAAACTTATAAAAGTCACCTAAAATTAAGGCAAGTAGTATGAGAAGTATAAAATGAAGTTTATCAGCTATTATACTAAATTACATGGAATGCAGGTACTATATTTTGCTAATTGTAAATGGACTAAATTTGACTGTTAAAGAACAGAGCCTATTGTATTGGCTTATTCAACCCATATTAATCATTTTTGCTACAAGCACCTGTTGCCCTTTCTTCTAGTAAAGCACTTGACTTGGATTTGCTGTTTTCCTCTGTTAGATAAAATCCGTGGAACTGCTTGTCAAAGTTCTCTGCCTTTCTAGGGAGCTGACATGTGACTCTAAGCCATGTCATTAGAACACTTGATCCCTAGACTTTTATTCTTGATCACAGTGACATAAAGACTGAAAATAGTTAGTACTGAATCATCCCAGCTATGACAATATGAGGAGGACTACCCGTCTGTTTCTGCCACCTGGAGCTCCTGACTGCTTTGTTTCCTCTGCTTGCTTTACTAGAAGCTTTTCCTACTGGTTCCAGCTCATGAATTCCTTTTTTCTTTTAACTAGTGAGTCAGTATCGGTTGCTTATAACCCATGAACTCTAACTGATATAGATTAAACCTCAAATTAGTTTCAGCTGGATAAGAGAAAAAGCAAGGTTAAGGAGGTGTGTGTAGGTGTATATATGTAAGCAAGCAAGCAGGCAGTCAGGCAGGTAAAAACACAAAGATAGTAGAACTTACAAAGTCCACACAACAGAATTTAAGTTAAAAAGCATTAAAGACAAACCGGGTCATTATGAAATAATAAAAGATATGATTTATAAGGAAGCTGTAACAATCTTATGAAGATCAAAAAAATACAAACCTTCCCTGAAAACTCAGCAGCCAAACACAAATGCATAGTGGAAAAAAAAAAATCTTAAAGGCTGAGAGAACCTAATCAAAGTGCAGTTGTGGTGGGGGATTTTAATTTAAGTTTTAGAATTTGCCTTAGTCTCTTCTTGTTGCTATAAAGAAACACCTGTGGCTGGGTGATTTATAAAGGAGGTTTATTTGGCTCAGGGTTCTGCAGGCTGTACAAGAAGCATGGCACCAGCATCTGCTTTTGGTGTGGGCTTCAGGGAGCCTCTACTCATGGCAGAAGGGGAAGGGGGGCCAGTATGTGCAGAGATTACGTGGTGAGAGTGGAGGAGAGAGAGGAGGGAAATGTCAGGCTCTTTTTAATAACTGGCTTTTGCGGGAACTAACAGGGTGGGAACACAAAGCCATTCATAAGGGATGCACCCCATGACCCATACACTTCCTACTCGGTCCCTCCTCCAACATAGGGGATCATATTTCATCATGAGGTTTGGAGGATCAAATATCCAAACTGTGGCAGAATTTAACAGATAAAATGGAATATGGAGATATACAAACCATTAGAGAAAGAAGCAGAAAATATGAATAGGGAAAATCCACATGACTAATAAATATATGAAAATATGCTGAACCACGTTTAGGGACATAAAGTCCCTAAATGTAAAGTAACAATAAGAAAATATTTTTAAAGTAACAATAAGAAAATATTTTTAATCTATCAAATTAGCAAAAGTTCAAGAGTTATAATATCTACTGCTGGAGAGGATATTGGAAAATAGGTACTTTCAAAACTATTGATAGAAATGTAAATTATTACAATATTTTGAGGATGTAACCTTTAAATAGCTCTTCATACTATAAATGCTCATACCCTTTGACTCTGGAATCTGAATTTTGGGAATCTGTCTTACAGAAATAATTAGAACCAAAATATACTGGATGTACATATGAGAACGTTTATTGCAACATTGCATTGGCAAAAATTTGAAGAAAACCTGAATATTAATAAATGGAATAGTTCTAAATAAAACTGTAGTACATTCATATGGAATATTATCCAGCTATTAAAGAGTTGGTGCTCTCTATCAACTTGAACATATTATTGACTAGGAGAGCAAATGGCAAAGTAATGTGTCTGATTTGACCCTATTTGTGTGAAATATATAATAAAAACCATATGTATGATATGTATGTATGAATGTTTATGAATATGAAGAAAGGTATGGAAGCATCAACCAGGCTGTTAACAACTGTTGCTTTCAGGAGTTGAGAGGAAGAAAAGGAGGTCTTGATTTTTTCACTTTCTACAGTAAGCACAGGAGGCTATTGTGATGAAGATTAGTAATTGATCAAATAAAAATTTTACCAAGGTAATACATTTTCTAGGAAACATGTAATATTTAATCAGCAAGAATGTTGTGGTTTTAAGTGGTACAGATATGGATGTACTTTTCTATGGATTACATTGGCATTTGTTTTTATTTCTACTTATCAGGATTTGCCATGTGATATTTTAATTAAAGGGCTACCTGTTCTATAGTGTTAGAGATTCTGTTGTTATGCTTCTGAATATTTTTGTTTTGGATAGGGCTGTCTTCATCAGTGGAATACAACATAATGGAGTTGGAACAAGAGCTTGAAAATGTAAAGACTCTTAAAACAAAATTAGGTATTGTACTTTTTTTTTCTTGTCTATTGGTCTTGGTTTCTTATTAAGATTTTACTGCAGTCTAAAATATTTGAAAATTTATGAAATGTTTAATTTATGTTAAAAGCTTTCAATCTGTTTAACCTCATTGAAAAAGACTGTTTTAGTTTAGGGAAAGAGTAAATATGTATTTATTTACCTTCTTTTGCTTTATATATATACAAAATGACTTTTCAAAGATGTCGACATTCAAGGATGTTGCTCCATGTCTTTTTACTTGCATTATTTCTGACAAGTAATCTGTCATACTTATCTTTTTATGTGCTTTTCTCCATCTATGCTTTTAAAATGTGCTCTTTATCATTGATTTTAAACAATTTGATTGTGATATGCCTGAGTAGTTTTCTTCATCTTTCTTGTTCTTTGGGTTCGTCGAGTTTCTTAGATCTAGGAATTTATAGTTTTCATCTAATTTGGAAACATTTGCTTTTTGTATATATTCCTTTTAATATGCTGCTTTCTATGCTTTGCTTTGCTATTTTGCATATATATATATATATATTTTACAACCATTACTTCTCCAAATAGTTTTTCTTTTCCCTTCTGTGTCTGCCTTTTCAGGACATGTCTGTTAGGCCATAGTTGAAGAATGTTCTTTTAGTTTTTAGTCTTTTTTCTTTCTGTATAGAAAGCTTCATTTTGTATAGTTTCTGTTGATATATCTTCACTTTGACTAATCTTTTCTTTACGAGTCTAATCTACCTTTAATCCTATATGGTGGTGGTTTCCCCCTCCCCTTCCCAGACACTACAGTTTTCATCTCTAGAAATTCTATTTGTATCTTTCATGTCTCTAATTTTCACATGTTCAATCTGTGTCCTCCACTTTTTGAAAATATGGAATACAACTATGACAATACTTTTAATGTTTTTGTCTACTAATTCTAATATTTGTGTTCCTGATAAGTTTTGATGGATTGATTTTTTCCTCATAATTAATTATATTTTTTGTGCTGCTTTGCATGACTGGCAGTTTTTGATTAGTAAACAGACCTTGTGAATTTTGCCTTGTTGGGTATGATTTTACCTTGTTAGGGGCCTCACTCATAGTATTCCTATAAGTGAGGAACTTTGTTCTGGGATGCAGTTAAGTTACTTGGAAACAGTTTGATTATTTTGTCTTGCTTTGAAGACTTGTTAAGCCAGACCAGAGTGTCATTACATCTATGGCCAATTATTTCCCACTTCCGGGGCAAGACCTTTCTATGACTTCTATCCAGCGTCCTGTGATTTAAGAGGTTTTGTACTATATTGTGGGAGCAGGCACTATCTTGGCCCTTTATGATTGTCGAGTACTGTTTGCTCTCCTATTTTGGGGTGATTCTTTCTTCATTAGTGGATTGTTTCCTGACACATCTGAGCCAGCCATTACTCTGCAGAGTACTTAAGGGTGGCCCCTGCAGATCCTTGTAGTTCTTTTTCTCTGCTGTGGTCTCCTCTCTGGTACTTTGCTTTGCGGACTCCAGCTACCTTAGTCTCCCCAGACTCCCATTTCGTGTCCTCAACTCAAGAAATGAGGTGGGCTCAGCTTGGGTTCCTCCTCCTTGCACTAAGGCCTAGAAATTTTCTCAAGATGGTAAGCTGTGTCAAACACAGCTCATGCTGTTTCCTGTTTCTCGGAGATCATTGTTCCTCTGTGATCCAACATCCAACGTCTTGAAAACTGTTGTTTCATATATATGGTTTTTTTTGTTTCTTAATAGTTTCAAGCTGGATGGTAAGTCTGGTCCCTGTTATTGCTCCATCCTTAGAACTGGAAGTCCAGTATTGTTTTTGAAAATCAAAACAAATGTTATTCATTCATTTTCATTTCTGTTAATAGCATCATATCGCCTAAAGGTACTTTAGTTATCCTGCTGTTGGTAGATATTAGATATGTTTCTAGCTTTTTGCTATTATGAATAATGTTTCTATGAACATTCTTGTACATATCTCTTGGTATATATTTTATAGGGTATATACCAGAAATAGAATTGTAAGATCATTGTATCTGTGCATGTACCACTTTTGTAAATAATGCTGAACTGTTTGCCTAGGTAGTTATATTATTTTGCATTCTGCTAGACATGAGCAGGATTCCCTGTTGCTCTAGAACCTTGCCAACACTTGAAAATGTTGGACTTTAAAATTTTTTGGCTATTTAGTGGGTGTGAAATGGTGTTTCATTGGTGTTCTAATTTTATGTTCCTGATTTGTGGTTCGATTTTTGTTTCTAGTGCTCATCTAGCTTCTGCTTGAGAAATATACCCATTAGTATTTCATTTAATATAGGTTTGCTGGCAATAGATTCTTTCGGTTTTTGTTTATCTGAAAACATATTTACTTTGTTTTTTTCATTTGTAGGACTTTTTTTTTAACTAAATTTAGAATTTTTATTTGGTAATTTTCAACTGTAAAAAGATATCATTCCATTATCTTCTGATTTCTGATTAAAAGTCATATTGTTGCTCTTTTGAAGGACTTTATAGATTTTCTTTTTGTCTTTGTTTAGCAGTTTTACTCTGATGTGCTTAGATGTGTTTTCTTTGTATTTTTCTTTCTTGCAATCTGTGTCACTTCATGACTCTGTGACTTGATGCCTTTCATCCATTTGGGAAAATTGTTAGCCACTATCCTATCAGATATTGCTTTTGCTTCATTTTGTTTTATTTCCTCAGACTGCAATTACACATATGCTAGACTTTTTTACTCTTACATCCTTTTCTGTATTACCTTCCTTTTTTTATTTCCGTGCTCGGTCTGTGATATTTTCTACTGGTCAGTTTTTCATTTCACTGTCTTTTCAGCTATGCTATAACTGTTGTCAAAACTATCTACTGAATTCTTTATTTTAGTTGCAGTATTTTTCAGTTCTAGAATTTCCATTTGATTATTTTTTATAGATTCAAATTTACTTATGAAATTTGCCATTTTGTCACTTATTTTGTTGAACATATCAATCATTTATTTTAAGGCATCTTTTTGATAAGTCCAATATGTGGATCAACTGAGGGTCTGTTTCCATTGTATTTTTTGCCCTCTATGTATCTCCTGGTAATGTTTAATTGAATGTTAGACATTTCTTGTACAAAATTAAAACTCTGAATGATCCTTTTTTTTGGCGAGGATTTAGTTTTGCTTATGGTAGACAAATAGAATAGAGACATACCAATTTAATCCATCTGTGTTTGAGATCATTTAAGGCTGGGTTTTGGTCTTTACAAAGCCTGGTCTGTTTCTAGCTTGGCATTTATTCTAGGGTATAGTTTTTTATTGATCTTAATTGACAGCCTGGTTGTTTTGTTTTTGACTATGACCCTATCTTCATAATGAACTGTAGTTTTTAACCTCGAAAGAAACATGAGCCTGACAGAAGCTTTGCTTTGCTTCTCCGTCTTTTAGCTGCATCCTTCTGTTGTTCTTCTAAGCCACCGGTGCCTTGAAGGGAAAGTACCATTGCATGCCAGGCTCACTTCTTTGCCCTTTTGTTTTTTCTGTGATCATAGCTTCTCTAATTGTGGCTGCCTTGATAGCCCCAAGCTCCAGTGTTTCTCTCCCTGGCTCTGTGGACTTCGCTGAAAGTGGTGCTTTAGCACTGTTGCCTGTGACCCATTGATTTCTCAGCTCCAGGGGCCATGCCAATTACACATTGGAAATTGCCTTGCAGGGAAAAGTAGTGCAGATTGGAGGACTCACCCCAACTTACTTCACAGAGTATTGGTCCCTCAATTTTCATTGTCTTAGTAGCTCTCTGATATGTTCATACAGATTTCTTTTTTTCTAAAGTTTGATACATCTGTTCTACTAGTTCTAAACATGAGGATTAGTGTAATATAAGATAGTCCTTTGTAGCTATAAGTGGAAATTTGCTTCCAGCCTTTAGAAAACTGAAAGTGTTTATCTTTAGGATATGAGAATAGAAGGGATTTTTATTCATGTAACTTTATTCATTAAAATGTATCTAAATCAATATGGAGGTCTATATAAAATATAATACAGTTGGTCCTCTGTATCCATGGGGGACGGTTCTAGGACCTCCTGCAGTTACCAAAATCCATGGATGATTGAAAACTGCTATTGTAGAACCATGAATATGGAGGACCTACTGTGTTTCTATAGTTTCAAAGTAAGATATATGTTGACAATATATTAATATTTCCTTAATAACTGAGATATCTTTCCAGAGCTGAAATTTAAACATCACAGGATTGAGCTGTTACTAATTTAGCAAATGAGTTTTATACTCTGATTTTTATGGTTTGTGAAGGAAAATTAAATATAATTTATATTTTTCAAAAAAGAAATTATTTATGTAAAAGTAATGCATACTGATCATATATGGAATGAAAATGTGAATCTGAAGAGAATTTTTGGAAATTACTGAAATCTATTGCTTTATTTTGTTTTTTCTTCTAATAGAGAGGCGAAAAAAGGCTTCAGCATGGGAAAGAAATTTGGTATATCCTGCTGTTATGGTTCTCCTTCTTATTGAGACAGTAAGAATTTATTTGCCTAAATAAAAGCAAATTATATTTTATTAACTTCAGCATTTGAGTATGGTGACTCCTTCAGCTAAATGGTTTCTAGTAAGCTGGTTTTCTATCAGTAAGATTAAAATCCATCTATGCCTTTATTTGTAAAAACTCACTAAAGCGAAAATGGAAATTAATGGCAAAAAAAAATCTCAAGGTTATATCTTCTTGAAATTAGGAAATTCAGCATTTTGTTTATTGAAAATTAAGAGAACATAAGCTGTTGTAGATACACTACTTCAAATTCTATGATAGAATATGAAAATTTCATTATGAAATTAGGTCTGATAATATTTTACCACTTTTGAATTCTTTAGAGTTGTGTGTTTCCAATTGATGAGATCACTTAGTAAAGGGATCTATAAGCTTTTGTCACAAGCTCTGAAATTACAATAAGTTGCATTATCTTTAGGATTTCTTGAGGAGTTTTGTATGTAGTCTGATTGCTTTAGTATTATATGTAGAATATTGGTCTTGACTGCTTTCCCACTATTCTGAAACATACATTTGGTGACTTGGATTGTAATATTTGTGTATTGGCAAAACATTTCTGAAATCGAGAGCTGACAGCCTACCTTTTGTATTGTAGTCCATCTCGGTCCTCTTGGTGGCTTGTAATATTCTTTGCCTGCTGGTTGATGAAACAGCAATGCCAAAGGGAACAAGGGTAAAGTAAAATGGTTTCAATGTCTTTCTTTTGCAAAAGTATTCTGTGTATATGCCCTGAGTTTCTGCATGTGTATACTTCAAGTTGTGTGAATTTTCTTATGCAAATAGCCTTTATAAACAGTGTTTATAAACTATGATTTTTGTTTCTGATTTTTACTTTGGATTATCAGGGTCTTTTTTCAAGTATAAGAGTTCAAAAGTGTCACACACTTTATGAAACTGCATCAAAATATACAATTACTGGAAGAGAGGTATATTCCTTTTCATGATTTAACTGTTCTCATTTAAAAATTGATGATTTTATGACATTTTGTCAGTTAGCCTATTTGAATATATTCTTCATATGGAAGGTAGTTGCCACTAAGTATTCATATTTGACATCGTTTTTCTAGGTGTTTCTATAAACTTTTGGATACTTAACGTGGCATTTAAATTTTGACATTTTGTTATATTTTCCACATTTGGCGGTTTTTCTGTTCGCCATTGCATTGACTTTGAAACTCTTCCAGACTTTTGATGTCACCGATTTCTCTCTGAACCGGATGATACGTCTTTCTCTCTCATAGAGAAAAGTCAATATCTATCTTAATTCCTTCCCTCCAGTTGGGGACAAAGATACCCTGTTTTTTTCAAAAGATAATTCCTTTAACCACATTCTTGATTCGGATCCTCCCATCCCAGTGTTTGCAGGCCCTTGTGCCATCTGTTATTGCCATTGTCACATTTGGGTACAGCCTCTTCTCCATGAGTGTAAGCCTACCAACATGTTCCAGGTGCCTCTTTCTATAGGCAAACAAGTGGTAATAAACCTCCTCCATCTACAGCTTTGTCCTTTTTGTTTGTTCGTTTATACCCAAACCCACTGATAGAGCAGTAAGTCATTTACTGTATTGACTTCCTATTCACTTTTTTTTTTTTTGAGACAGAGTCTTACTTTGCTGCCCAGGCTAGAGTGAGTGCCATGGCGTCAGCCTAGCTCACAGCAACCTCAATCTCCTGGACTCAAGCGATGCTGCTGCCTTAGCCTCCCGTGTACCTGGGACTACAGGCATGCGCCACCATGCTCGGCTGATTTTTCTTTTTTATATATATATTAGTTGGCCAATTATTTTCTTTCTATTTATAGTAGAGATGGGGTCTTGCTCTTGCTCAGGCTGGTTTCTAACTCCTGACCTTGAGCAATACGCCTGCCTCGGCCTCCCAGAGTGTTAGGATTACAGGCGTGAGCCACCGCGCCTGGCCCTATTCACTTTTTAACACATTTTAATATACCGGCAAAACAAGGATAGTCCCAAGCCTTATGGTTCATTTTTGTACTGTCCCCCTCAGTGCATAGTTGAGGATGACTTTCACTTTTGTTGAGGAGCTCGCTTTGTGGCTGTGCAAATATATCAGATCATCTTACTCCTGCTTACAGTTCCAAAATATTTTCCATCTTGGTCAATAAGCTTTTTGGAGGGGAGAAAAAATACTATGTTTTCCTCAACCATTGCAAGGTTCATAGCTGAGCCTCCTATAACAAAAGACAGATTAACAAGAGAAAAGCGGACAAATTTATTTAGATAAATTGTACGTGTCATAGGAAACTTCAGAAATGAAGACCAAAGAACTAGGAAAACCTGTGTATTTTTATGCTTAAGTTTGATAAACAGTGAACAGTCATGAAGAAGTATGATTGGACAAAGGGGTATGATCTAATGGTTACAAACCAGGGGGAACTTAACCAGGCTCTTTTGTTCAGATTCTTTTATATTTCCCAGTGTCTTCAGAGATAAGGATATTTCTTTCTTCCAGGTATAGGGAGGGTACCCCTCCAATGAGGGTCTTACGGCCTACTTCAGAGGATAAATGAAAGAGGTCAGAGAGTGACTTTTGTAGGTTTTCTTAAACACCAAAGTGCCATATTTTATGGTAGTATGTCCTGAGCCCTGGCACTTTCTATTAGCATTGTTTATTTCTTCTTCAAAGTATTGGCAAAAAGTTATTCTTTATTAGGTTGACTATACATTCTTAACACATTGACTGCCACTAGAAAAAAAATTTTTTCCTTCGGGCCACAGTGTTTTATTACAAAAATAGAATACAAACTTCAAAAACAAAATAATCCTTTCTAATTTAATGAAAAATTTATTGTTTTTTGTTGTTTTTTGTGCATGAATTATATGCAACTTGAAAAATAGTTCACACAGCTTCTAAGGTAGAGACATGGGCTCAAAACCAGTGTGAGTTAAATACAACTCACATGGCAGTTAGTGTGTTAATTATCCCTGGTGTTTCTGTTAGATGTAATTTAAGCTGACCCATAAAATAGTAACTCATATGCAGATAGTTCTTTTAATTAGTAATCTTTGAAAATATTGTTCCTACTTTAGTAGGGAATGATTTTTTGCCTATCTCACTGTGTATTCATTGTAAAAGTATTACTTTCTTTGGTATTATTTACATTCTAGGTAAAGATAGGTTTTGAGACAGGTATAATGTTTAGAAAAAAATTTATAGCATTATTTTTAAAAAAATCTCTGTTAACAGGTGTGTCTTTTATAACTCTGAATTCCCAAGGAAGATTTGAGGAAAGGAAACTTTCAACTGAAGAAACAGGATATGCTTATTCACCTTCTTTCTATGTTTAGCTTAATTTTAACACACTTCAATTGTATAATTTTTGTATGTTGCCTCAGTGTTCAGAGAGTTATAAACTCTATCGTACTGTTGTTTTTTTAAAAAAATTCTCTTCCAAGAATATTCAGGATTTTTTTCTCAAGTAGCAAATTGTCCTATTTTTTTTTTTACAAAAGTAAGCATAATGATTATACCTATCTCAAAGCCTATCTTTACCTAGAATGTAAAAAATACCAAAGAAAGTAATACTTTTATAATGAATACAGTGAGATAGGCAAAAAAATCATTCCCTACTGAAGTAGGAACACTATTTTCAAAGATTACTAATTAATCATATCATTTTGACAAGTAACTTAAATTACATTTGAGATAAATCAGACTTTTTTTAGCTTTTTAAAATTGTTAACATGGTGGCTGAATTTATTGATGAAATCAGTCTAATGTCAAATTTTGTTGGGCTTTGAAAGTCTAGATGTTATTTTCAGGTATTAAACATTCCTAACTTCAACTGTCTTATATTTATAAAACAACAATTTTAGGGAAACCAAATATGATGCCATTGAGTTCTGAAAAGTGTTTTTTCCCCCTCCCAGGGGCCTGGAATAGGAAATGCCTCTCTTTCTACTTTTGGTTTTGTGGGAGCTGCACTTGAAATCATTTTGATTTTGTATCCTTTCTTTAATGGACCAGTCTGTTAACAAGTTTTCTGTCTAGTTTTCTGGGACAGTGGTAATTTACTAAGACACTTGTCTAGAAGGAAAAACAACAGGTTAGTCCTCCTTGAGCACTTAAAGTGGCTTTTTGTATTGTTTTTCCTGTGGGCCTTAAGACTTTCTGGAGACTGCTGAGAACTTAAGGAAACTTGCATTCTTTTGGAGAGTTTTTTTCCTTGATTCTCACAGCTATCTGATGGTGTCCTCTGTTGTCGGTTTCTATAGTCTTCGATTTTTTGGAAACTTTACTCCCAAGAAGGATGACACAACTATGACTAAGGTAATATAGATTCTTAGGAGGCTATGGCCTCTCTTTTGCCTCCCAAGGACAAATGGGCTGTTTTATTTAGTAATTGCCCTGAATGATTCCTTTGCAGTGATAGGTATTTGTTTGTAAGTTGCATAAACACAAACTGGTTGATTTTCAGAATGCTGAGTGAGTGGGAAAAGGATGTGTTCTGTTTAATTTGGATGTCGTCCATTCACTTGTAAATGCATGGAACTGCAGAGCTTGTTAACTAGCTATAGAAGGCTCCTGAAAGGACTCTTTTTCCTCTAAAGAAAACGTATTGCTAATGAGTAACTTTGATTGTGCTCACTGTACTTCAAGGAGCTTGTTTGAAATCTGAAGAACTTAGTTGCTACAAGTAGTAGAGACAAAGTATTTAAAATTTGAATAATTAAAGTAAGACAGAAGAGTTCTATTCAGAAACATTTTGTAGCCTGAGGTTAATTTGACTTTCTACACTATGTCATTGGCTTCAGAATAATAAAGGCTGTTGCCTTATATAGTGACTGAATCTTTTGTGAAATATTCCCATAGGCTGACAAAGAGGAATAACTAGTAAGAACTGCTGGCTTGTTTTCTTTTTATTATGTGTTCTATATCTTTAGCCTATTTAAAGAGGAAAACTTATTTCATATATATATTTACATATACACACACACATCTATATTGCTATGACTTCCTTAAAGTCAGTAAGTAGTTGAGATATTTAGTATCTGGTTGAAGTGATTATAAATATTAACAGTATTTTCAACTCCTCTTATTTAATATGAAAGAATGAATATAGAATACATTGAAAATGAATTGCTAGATGTTTTGGATATTTGGCACTTTTTAAATTAATCTCATAATAGTTAAAGATATTAGAAGTAGGTATTATATAAGAGATCTTCAGCAATAATCTAGCTTTAAAAATATATTCAGAAGTATTAAATGTGTTAATTCTTTTTTACTTGACAGGCGAAGCTTTTTGAAATTGGCAATCACAATCAGTAATATAGAATATATTATCTAAGTATAAAGTAATTTAAGTGTTGTATAACTTTATATTTGTGCCAAGTACTGTAAATATCTTCTAGAGTTTACAGATATAACTTTAAATATTTGTAGAAAAAGTTTATTATTCTTTTAAAATTCTATATTGAATAGTAAATGTCATTGAAAATTTATCAGAGTACAATAGGTGACTACAATGTACAGTAATTTCCCAAAATATTACTAGGTTTTATTGTCTCCTGCTGTTTGCCCAGTATTCTTCCTGATTTCTCATAACAGATCATTGGGAATTGTGTGTCAATCTTGGTCTTGAGCTCCGCTCTGCCTGTGATGTCAAGAACACTGGGTAAGCATGAAAGAGAAAATTTTACTTAAAATGCACATTTTTTTTAAAGCTATCTTTACTAAATTCTTTTATTAACTTTTAGTTGCTAAACTTTTCCTTAAAGATCACCTTTGAACTATAATGTTTCTTCCCACATCATTCTTTTTATACCTTTAATTTTATTCTTCATTTATATATAGGGCCATACCAAGATAAGTACTTTTATCAAATAAAGATCATTTATTTTTTAAACACTTAAAAACATTCCTTCTCCAAACAATGAAATGACTGGGTTTTTTTTTTTTTTCTTTCACAAGTTAGTCTTTTGAGTCCTCTAGTGAGGAAACTGTGATTTTTTTTTTAAACGAAAATATTTAATGCTGAAAATGTTAAACTTATGTTTCTTATATAAAGTATTTTTAAAAATCTACAGTTTAATGTGGTTTAAAAACTGAAAATTTGTAAACTTATTTTAAGCTGCTTTGTGTCCACCAAATCGTTGAAAGCTGTGCGATCTCTGAGGGCACGCTGATTCAAAGGACACTCTTTAGTCCTTTAGCTTCTACTTGCCTGTCATTCATTCATGGTGTTTTCCTACATTTTCAGTTTACAGAGAACTTTGATCATCTTTTAATAGTAAGAAGGGTTTCCACTTAATCATTGAAATAGTTGACAAAGTCTTCCTTTGGCCTTCAGTCTTTTATAAAATGCTATTGTAGACCGTATTCTCAGTTCTTGGCTAAATATTATTTCAGACAAAAATTTCCATTAATCAGTTCTGTCGGATTTTCTAGACTTAGGTTTTGATTTGAGGGTCCACAAATGATTAGAAAGGTTCACTTATTAAGCTTTAGCTGCTTGCTTATAACACAAATGCTAGTAACTTTGAGTTGGTTTTGTTTTAGCTCTCATATGGTTTCCATTATTTATTCAAAATGCATAGACATTGGGAATGCAGGTGCTGTGCCAAGAAAATATACATTTTGTAATTATCTTCATATTTCCTACGAAGATTTCATGTTTTAATAGAAAGTGAAATTAAAGTGCAAATGTAAAAGGGACTGCCGTTCCACAGGCTAATACAAAATTTACTTAACAGTCTTATTTCTTTTGTGTTTGCTTTATAGGACTTGTTATTGTTCTGACATCTGCTTATTATATGTGAATCTTAAAAATGCCAAAAATATGCACTTTAGTAATGTGATTTGAAGCTAAATATTATCATTTGTATTATGATTGTCCATCAAATAATTTCTGTGATAGTACAGCCACCCTACCATTTTAACATTTATGAAACTCTCATTTACTGTGTCTTTTATTTAAGATTAATTGATAACTGTTAATATATACTGATTTTATAGAAGAAAATTACATGCTGAGTATAGTTTTAATACAAAGAAAACAAATTAATGGTAAAATTTACTTTCTGAAGACCTACAAATTAAATTCCAGAGTAGTTTGCCATAGAGATAAATAAAAAGAAAAAAAAGAAAGATGGAACAATTAAAATGCAGCTAACAAATTCCTGGTCCCAGCTGTCCAAACAGGATTAATGGAGTGCATTAGGGTACAGTGAGTCATGTGGTGCTTTGCAAAATATCAACACGCACTGCATTACATGTTATGCCCAGTGACATTGAATAGATGAAAAGAAATAAATACGTTAAACAGATTCATAGAGGCTTTTCACAGTATTAAAAAAGCAAATTTCTAGACTAAAAGAAAAAGCTTTATTTTAGTATTATGGGAAATGCAAACTAGAGAGTTACTTTGTAATTCCTCTATTAACCCTTTAGAATTGAGTCTTTGATTTTAAGAAGATAAAATATAGAGAATTGTCATGAATATTATCTTAGTGTATAACAGGATTTTGATTTACTAGCTGAAAAGCTTATAAGACTAGAATAGAGGTTGTATTTAACAACCAAATTCCAAGCTGTGACATTTTTCACTCTTCTCAGTGCCTCTCACAACGAAATCCTGACCTTGGTGCCGTCTCATTTGCTCCTGTGAGATCACCCACAGCATCCCATCACCTACAGTGAAATGAGAAATGCAATAACAAGAAAGTCATAATTTACCTGCTTATGTGCAGTTTGTCTCTTATTTCAACAGCTTTTTAGTAAAGGGTATAATTTTAATTCTAAATTGAAAATACATTGAATCTAGTATAAAATAACTAATTTGGTGATATTTTGCTTCAAAAATGAAAGTGTTCTCTGGGTTTTTTTCTTTATTAAAATTTGCCAACTCCTATTGTTGATGTATCCCAGGCTTTAGGTTTAAGTGCATTGTATGATATGACATTTATTAAAGAATTCCTTTTAAATAGCTTGTTACATTGGAATATGGAAAATATCATACTAAGTGGGAAATCACTACTATGTAAATTTTATAAGCATATCACTTGCTACAGAGAATTAAGTTGTGAGGGAAATTCTGACCATATATTTTTAGTCAAATGTAAGTAATAGTGACGATAGTTTTATTGTCCATAGGAAACACTAAGAATCTGTACTTAAATTTTTTTACTAAAACTCTTTAAAGCTCTTTAAAAATAGTGCCATGTCAGGGGATATAATTTTCAGCACATTGTTTTTGCTGCCTGTTTAGACTTCAGTTTTAAAGAATCCAAAATTTTTTAGGAGTTTGTTGTCCATATTTACTACATAGTAAACAATTTACTATGTAGTTTAATAGACTCTCAAAGTGATTAGAGGAAGTATTTGTAAACAAAATGAAAATAGAACAGGATCAAATTATCTATAGATGCCCAAACTTTTTTGTCATAAAATGTTTCAATGAATTTTGTAAAAGTAGATTTTGTATGATTGCTGATATACTCTTTATTATGCTTAGTCAAGAAACAACTGAGAGGCTGACATTTTTTGTGTTATTCTTAATTTGAAAATTGCCTTTAACCAAAATGCAAAATTTTTCTCACATGCAAACAACAATCTTGGAAATACTTTACTAATTTCTATTTTAAAATTATTTTTGAAGTCATTTTTTCATCCTGGAAGTTCTTTCTGTAACTTGTAAGTAATGTAAGACCTAAATGCAGATTTTAAAAATAAATACAGGTATTAAAACAAAAATACTTGTCCTTTGAAATCAATTTGAATTTATTTTCAGTATTTTCATGTATTTCTCATCTGGGTCCCCTACAGTCTGTCATCTTACAGGAGAGAAAGTAGATTATTCTCTTTTGTTCCTTGATGAAGGGACCTTGTTTAAAAACTGGTCTTTTTTGGAGAGGTCTTTATTTGGGATTTCACAAATAAACAATTAACCTTTATGCTGGTCTTTCCCTCTCTACTTTTCATTGTGAAATGGAAATAAATGATGCATTCACAGATGCTTAGCAATGACAAATGTGAAACAAGTATAAATTATAATATATGCCCCTAATTGTGACATCGATAAAATTTTAAACCTCATATTGAAAATTTCTCACCAAAAAATTGTATATGACTTATGTTCAGATATATTACAGAAAATAATAAATGAATGGTACTAATTAACTTTTGATTAATTACTAATGTTCTTATATCTGAACAATAAATTTATGTATCTACTTAGGATTTTAAGTGTTCTATGTCAAACTGTCCAAACAGTTAAGAGAGCAACTAATAATAACACTCTAAAAACTCATATTCCTAGTGTGTACTTGCTGTGTTTTCCTGATGCTGCACTTGTTTCAGGGCATGTGATTCTATCTCAGAAAATGTCGTGTTGCTTACACATATCTAAACTCAGCCATCTGTTGATATATAAATACTTTAAATTTATTTTGTTATAATTTTCGTGTGAAAATAATTCCAGTTAGGATCATTTAGTTGGAAGGAACCTTAAGAAGTAATTTTTAAAATGTTATAGTTAAAATGGTACAATTAAAACTAGAGAGTGATAGTAAAAGTCTAGTTTATACTAAGAAGAATAAAGACCCCTAATCTAGCTGAGGATTTTTAATATAATAGTATATATGCACAATCAACTCTGAGATAGATGAACAGATTATCTCATTTGTAGGATTGTTTTCAAATTAATTATAAAGAATATTAAAATTACAGATCAGGCTAAAGTTGCTTGTGACCACCATTTTTAATCCCAGTCCCTTCTTCCAAGTTTCCAGAAACCTCTTTGGTTTATAGCTTTTGAAATCTTTTTCTGTGTACATGTATGTGTGTGTTTGTGTATGTGTATACTCTAGTAAATTTTTAAACTCTCACCTGAGTGTTACTTTTTAAAAAAATTCTTTTGTTAGCATTTTTGTTCCTTCTGATGACACTTAACTTGGTGTGCTGCCCAGTGAGAGTTAAAAGAAGAAAAGGTTTTGAAATCATTTCCTCTATCAGAACTTAGTCATCCAAAATGAATTTCATACCAAAACTCTTAATTATCTATTTCTGTACAGGTAATCAATGACCTTCCTAGCTGCCTAATTCTATGGACTCTGTTTTTATCTTAATTGCTCTGTGGCATTTACTCTTTGTAATCCTCCCACCAAAAAAAAATCTCTTATTTTTTCATTTCTGGTCACTGCTTCCTCTATTTTTGTCCTCCTTCTCTGGCCATTCCTTAGCGGTCTCTTTTACTGCTTCTCAACTACCACCCATTCACTTGCCCCCAAATCCAAACCTCTAGCCCACCTCTCATCCTAAACTAAAAACAGAGAAATCTAGCTCTGTGCTATGTATGGGTGTCCTACTGCCATCTCACACAGGTCGTTTCTAAAACAGAGCCCCTTCATATTCTCTCTCTCTCTCTCTCTTTCGTTTCTCTTTCAGTCTTTGGGACACTTTCTACCCAATAGGCCAAACCAGAAACTTGAGAGTTAAGGTAGATGCCTTTGCCTTCTAGCACCAATACCTAACACAGTACTCAATATCGTCTTGTTAATATATCTTACATCTACCTCTTCCTTCCTATTGTCCTTTTAAAAAAATGAAAAGAGTCAGACTTGTATAATATCCAAAGCAGAGAACCAATATCATCTTGTTAATATATCTTGCATCTACCTCTTCCTTCCTATTGTCCTTTTAAAAAAATGAAAAGAGTCAGACTTGTATAATATCCAAAGCAGAGAAGTGAGTATATGATTTTATTTTAATATTCTATTGTGAGAAGAGTGTTCATGAAGTAGATTCTAAGCAGGTATTTTGCTGTAACTTTTTACTGTGTTATCTGAATACAGTTTATACTGTGGTAAGGTTTGTAGTATAGTTTATCACAGTCTACCTTGAAAGGAATATTATACCACTTAGTATGAAAAAGCAGTATACAGCAGTATACTTCCATTTCTTCCCTACCAGCTTTTGTGTTTTTTTATTTTTTATTTTTATTTTACATTTTGAGGCAGGTTCTCACTCTGTTGCGTAGGCTAGAGCGCAATGGTGTCTGTCATCTTAGGTCACTGCAACCTCAGACTCCTGGGTTCAAGTGATCCTCCTGCCTCAGCCTGTGATCTATTATGCAAAATGTTCTATGCACACTTGAGAAGAATGTTTATTCAGCTGCTGTTGTGTGGAAAGTTCTGTATGTATTTGTTAGGTCCATTTGTTCTACCATGGTAAAGTCAGTAGTTTCCTTATTGATTTTCTGTCTGCATATTCTATCCATTTCTCAAAGTGGGTATTGATATCTCTTAATGTTATTATATTGCTGTTGATTTCTCCCTTAAGATCTGTTCATATTTGTCTTACATATTTAAGTACTTTGATGTTGGGTGTATAAATATATTTATAATTGCTATATCTTCCTGTTGATTTGAACTTTTTAATCATTATATAATGATCCTCTTTGTCTCTTGTGACATTTTTTACTGTCTATTTTGTCTGATATAATTATTGCTAGCCCTGTTCTCTGTTGGTTACCATTTGCATAAAATATGTTTTTTCATCCTTTTACTTTCAACCTATGTATGTTTTTATATATAAAATGAGTCTCTTAGACCGCACATTGCAGGATCTTTTTAAAAATCTATTTAGCTCCTCTATGCCTTTTGATTAGGAGTTTAATTCATTTACATTTAAAGTAATTATTAATAGGTAAGGACATACTATTTCCGTTTTGTTGTTTTCTCTATGTTTTGAAGTTCTTTTGTTCCTCTCTTTATCTCTTGCTGTCTTCTTTTATTATATGATTATTTCTTGTAGTGGTATGGTTTGATTCTTTTCTCCTTATCTTTTTTATATCTACGATATGTTTTCCATTTGTGGTTACAATGACACTTGTATCTTATAACTATATTTTAATTTGATAACAACTTATATTCAATTACATAGAAAAACTCTACACTTTTACTCCTTCCTCACAACTTTATGTTCTTAAAGTCAGAGTTTACTTCTTTTTTTACTGTGATTCAGTTAGCAAATTTTTGTGGTTACAGTTAGTCTTAGTACTTTTGTTCTTTTATTTTTATGTTATGGTAACAGGTAAATTTGAGCATTACCATTATAGTATCATCTTATTCTATTTTTGACTGTGTATTTATGTTTCCAGTGAGATTTATATTTTCATATGTTTTCATGTTTCTGGCTGGCCTCTTTTTGATTCCATATGAAGAACTTTCTCAAAGATTCTTATAAGACTGGTCTAATGATGACAGACTCACTTGGTTTTTGTTTGGGAAATAATTTATCTCCTTTTCATTTTTAAGGATAGCTTTGCATAGTATAGTATCTTCATTATCAGGTTTTTTTTTCTTTTAGTACGTTGAATACATCATCCCACTTTATCCTAGTCTTCAAAGTTTTTGCTGAGAAATCCACTGATAGTCCTAGAGGTATTCATTTGTATGAGATGAGTCACTCTTTTCTTGCTGTTTTCAAAGTCCTCTCTTTATCTTTGACTTTTAACAGTTTATTTGTAATCTGTCTCAGTGTAGACCTCTTTTATTTTCAACTATTTGGGAATCTATGGGCTGCTTGAGTCTGTATGTTCCTCCTCAGATTTGGGACATTTTCATTTATTTATTTAAATAAGCTTTCTGCCCCTATCTCTTTCTCTACTCCTTTTGGGACACTTATAATGCATATATTGGTTGGCTTGATGGTGTCCTATACAAATTATATAGGCTTTTTTTACTCTTCTTCATTGTTTTTTTCTTTTTTTTCTCCAACTGCATAATTTCAGATGATCATCTTCAAGTTCAAGGAATCTTTCTTCTGCTTGATCAAATTTGCTGTGGAAGCCCTCTGTTGAATTTTTTAGTTCAGTCATTATATCCTCCAGCTCCAGAATTTCTTTTGATTCTTTTACATTTTATTTTATCTTTGTTGCACTTCTCATTTTGTTCTTATGTTGTTTGCCAGATTTTGTTAAATTATTTATGTGTGATTTCTTGTAGTTTGATGAACTTCTTTAAAGCAATTATTTTGAATTCTTTGTCAGGCAGCATGCGGATCTCTATTTCTTTTTAAAATTTGCTTTCTTGATACTCTTTACCTTTGTATAGAAATATAGGTTTTGAAATATTTATATGCTTATAGAATAAGTGTTGCTAAATTAAAGCTTTAAGGATTGCTACTTTTTCTTAAATGTTGGTACTTCAAATTTTAAAAATACAACACATAATTACTATCATGACAAAAACATGTCAGGTAGAATTTTAGAGAAGTGATTGTTTAAAATTTTTTTGCTGTCCAGTCTTTATAGAATATTTTCATAATTGAAGAACTGTATGTTGGCAAGAGTAATCCTTTAGTCAGTCAGTATCAGTTAGATTTTTACAAATACTAAATTGAATTTGAAACAACAGTGTCTTTAGTACTAGTCCCTATGAGCTAGTGTGTCCAGTTCTTCAGTGCACTCTGGCAACAGGATCCTGGATTGCTGTTTATGAAGTCAACCTGAAATGTCCGGGAACCAAAACATGTAATGATAGAGGCTGTTCTTTGTCTGATGTCTGGGTGCCCATATTTGGTCTTGACCCTGACTCTCAAGATACCGAGTTGAATCCATTAAGAAGGTATAGTGAAAGCACTTTTCCCATTGTTCATTACATACCTTCCATTCCTATTGTGATACTGCATTTGGCCTCCTGCTTTCACTCTCATTGTGTAGTGGTGCTGTCACAACATAGGATGTAGGTCATGTTCAGGGGTGGTTGAATCACTACATGCCAAATACCAGTGGTTTTCAAAGTGGAATTTGTACACCCCCCTGGATTCACAAAATCGTCAGACTGTGTGAAGAAAATATTAGAACTTGTACTTATATTTATTGTTAGAATCTTTAACATCTTTCTTTTGTCTGTGTATAATGTATGTATCAGTAAATAGTACATACCGTGTTTCTCCAAAAATAAGACCTACCCATGAAATAAGCCCTAGCAGGATTTCTAAGCATTTGCGCAATAGAAGCCCTACCCTGAAAATAAGACCTAGTGATGGGATTGGCTACGCAGCATATCTCCACAACCCATGCATTTTGTTGCAGAGCAGTAAAGAAGATGAGCAGCCCTTCTCATCTGCCCCATGAGAGCTCTGTTGCTCGACATGAGAGATTGGGGGCAATGGTTCTAAAGGAAATAGAGTTGCAAGAAATTCAGGATGGAATTCAGGGTTTGGAGAGTTATGATGATGTTCCAGAAGAAGACAACTTAACTATATTTGAATAAATGTAGATTGTTGTACCGTACTTAAAAAAATTAACACACCCCCTGAAAATAAGCCCTGGGGTGTCTTCTTGAGGAAAAATAAATATAAGACCCTGTCTTATTTTGGGGGAAATACAGTATATAGTTTATAAATAAATACATGTATATTGGACATATGTGCTCAAATTTTGTTTTTACTAATGGTGATATAGGAACAAAAAAATTATGGGAGCAGGTAAGACTCTTATTGAGCAACTGGGCAAAGATTTTTATTCTGGGATCCATCAGTTCCTCCATAAATGAGCTTCATGGTATGCAAAATTGTGTGTGTGTGTTTACATATGAGTGTGTTTCTTGTGAGAAGATCCATAGCTCTCACCAGATTCTCAAAGGAGTCTTTGGCCCCAAAGATCAAATAAACTACTTATCTGGGATCTCTGGGCTGAAACCACTGAAGCTTGTTTTGGTAGGACTATATCTTATTTACAGATAACTTTATAGGTTAAATTAAATGGTATCTTCTTTGAAAAATGAGATGTATAATTAGATATGTATTCCTTTTAACAAAGTAAAGTTATATAAGACTTTAACTGAGGAACTGCAGTCCAGATTGTTGTCATCACCTCATGGCAATTCATGACACATGCTGCATCATCTCCAGGTAGCTGGGTGTTAACCTTTTTACAGAGGTATTTTATTGTATGTTTTCATTAATCTTCTGTCTTTTAAAAATATTTTGTTATATTGTATTCTTTCAAATTCAAACACATTGGCCCTGGGTAGAAGTGAGTACAGAAGAGCTACTTTAGAAATCCCCTGTTTTTGTTATCCTGTTTCTATATGAAGGTTTTTCTGTTGTCTCTATAAGCTGTTCTTGTAGAGGCCATGTGTAGTAGATGATGGAATTCCTTTGGAGTGAGGTTGACAGTTAAGTTCAAAAGTCAGTTGATAATGTGAAATTGAGTTTAGTCAAAGTTATTCTTGAAATCCCCCATAAGATCCTTAAATCACCCATAAAATGAGGTACATAATTTTGTTTATACAGTCCTACTGGCAATTGTTATTATTTCTTCTCTTTGTAGTTTAAATTTTATATGGCCCACAAATGGCCCTTCAGTTTCTTGTCTGAAGAATGTTGATGATCCCATTGTCTCCTGACTGACCACCTGAATGGTGTGACTGACTTCTCTCTCAATGTCAGAAAATCCTACTATTCACATATTTTTTCCCAATAAATATTGGACCTGGGGCACATATTCATTAAACAGAGTAACTATTTAAGCTATTTTTTAAAGTAAGTCATTTAAAAATGTGTGTAGGTGAATTTAAGTAACTTAAATGCGTAGATAATATCATCACACTACATTTCCAGCTTTACCTTTTTATTCTATAAGCCTATAGCATTAAATTCAGATTATCATTTTTTTAATGGAAGGAAATTATCCTATTTACTTATTCAATTATGTAACAAATATTAAGTTTGTGTAAGGCATTATTCTGGGCATTGGGATTATAGGAGTGAAATAAAGTCCCTGTTCTGATAGAACTTACATTCTAGTGGGGAAAACAGGCAATAAATAAACCAAAAAGGAAAAAAAATTCAGGTAATGTATACTATGAAGAATCATAATTAGAATAGAGGCCATGGAGGGTCTAGCTGTTCTAAGTGGAGGAATCAGAGGTTTCATCTCCAAGGAGGTAATGTTTAAGCAGAGACCTGAATGAAAAGAGGGGATGGAGAGGCAGTTCCCCAGAGGGGCAACTGTGGGGGAGGTGTGAGGATTTGCTCAGATGTCTTTTTTATCAGGGCTCTTGTTTCCTGTTATTGGTGATAGCCATCCCATCTCAGCAGAGCATGCGTTCACCCATCCTTTCCGTATGAGCAACACAGTAGGTTCATTTCTAATGTAAGCCCAAATTCCGTCGAATGACAAGGGGTGTTTCATTCTGACCTCGTTCATCATTTACAAGTGACTGCGGCATGTGTGGGAAGTAGGTTAGGGCTGGCTTGAGTTTGTCCCACTATATAACAGTTTTACATTTTAAAGTAGGGTTCATTCATTAGAGCATCTCACATAACAGAAATGAGAAAGTCCATGAAATTTGATCTGATTTGTATTTTATTTTGTAAAATACTTTGTAAAATATTTTACCTGATTTTATTAAGGGCTGTTTTATTTATTTTTAACAGGAATCACTAGATTTGATCTACTTGGAGACTTTGGAAGGTTTAATTGGCTGGGAAATTTCTATATTGTATTATCCTACAATTTACTTTTTGCTATTGTGACAACATTGTGTCTGGTCAGAAAATTCACCTCTGCCGTACGAGAAGAACTTTTCAAGGCCCTAGGTAATCCTGAATTTCATGAGTTTTTTTTCCTCTTTCTACTAATTAATAATTTAGACATTTGAGTTAATTTTAAATCTTAAGCTATTTAGTTTTCCAAATGTATAAAACCTTTGAGGTCAAATTCTTGATCCACTACTAAGTGATTATGATTTTCACTTCATTAAGCCTCAGCTTCCTCACTCATCTGTAAAATAGTGACAATATCTTCTTCCTTTTATGATTATTGTCAATAGTAACTGCAATAATTTTTGTAGGTCCTCAGAATAGTACCTGGCACATCATAATAACTCAATATACATTAGCTCCTTTACTGTTACGTTAGTGGTGGTCATGGTGGTGGTGAGGGTGACACTGTGTTAAAGGCTTATTTTTTTTTTTTTTTTTTGAGACAGAGTCTCGCTTTGTTGCCCAGGCTAGAGTGAGTGCTATGGCGTCAGCCTAGCTCACAGCAACCTCAAACTCTTGGGCTCGAGCGATCCTTCTGTCTCAGCCTCCCGAGTAGCTGGGACTACAGGCATGCGCCACCATGCCCGGCTAATTTTTTTATATATATATATCAGTTGGCCAATTAGTTTCTTTCTATTTATAGTAGAGACGGGGTCTCGCTCTTGCTCAGGCTGGTTTTGAACTCCTGACCTTGAGCAATCCGCCCGCCTCGGCCTCCCAGAGAGCTAGGATTACAGGCGTGAGCCACCGCGCCCGGCCCTAAAGGCTTATTTTTTGGTAATGATACTTTTTAGTTAAAGCTTCTTTGAGGCTTGGATTTATAATTATCAGGCTGTAATTCCTTCCAGTAAGCCAATAAGAATTCTGGATAAAAAATGTTAGCCTTCTTGGCGTTGATAGGAGAAGAGGGCATTTTTAATCATGTATTCCATGAGTCACATGCATTGTGACCCTGTTAAAAACTGTTGGGTTTGTATAAAGGGTACTAATATAAAGTACGAATGTATTTTTTATGCTTATCTACACATTAGTGCTAAGCATATTTTATACTTTAGGAAACCAGGACAGTATAAACTATCTTGGGTTTGGAGTGTATCATTTTATGATACAAGAAGGGAAGGGCTATGATTTATTGTAGAAAATTTTATAGAAAATCCTGACATTAGCTCATTTACCTGAGTTGACATCAATTGAGTGCTTATAGGCCATATTCCTTGTGGCTTTTAGTTATTGCAAAAGGCTACATATTGATTAATTTGTTAAGGTCCAATTTTCAGATAACAAACTATGTGAGTGGCAGTAAAGCTCCTCATGTCACCAAGCTTTCCAACCTTAATGTGGAAAGGGTTACCTTTGGTAGGAAAAATGATTGCAGATCATCTATCCATGTGTATTTTGAATATGCCCTGTGAGGAGGTAGCTGATGAAATATTGGCCTGAAAGGAAAAAGTTACATCTCATTTCAGCTGGAGCACCAGGTAATCTATAGATTTGAATGCTTAGATTTCATAAAGCTGGCCAAATTTAAAACTGCCAGGTTAAATGAAAGTTAAACAGTCCTTTCAGTCCACTGTCTAGAGTCAAAACTTAATTTTTAAGGCTATTGTAATATCAGCAAGATTAGTCATAATCTCAGATAAATTCCCACTTAAATGAGATGGTTGCAAATGAATTGTAAGTTTATTGATTGAGTTAGGTATTCTGGGTATCATTTTGTTAAATAGTAAAATATAACTTAACTGGGGGTAAAATATCTTAAATGTATCAGTTCTTTGATCATAAGAGACAGTGGAATTACCAAGAGTTGTATAAAACTAGATTCTAATAGATTTACTTTTTTCCCCAAATATTTTTTTATTATTCTTTGGGGTGTGCTAAGAGAGCAATTTTTACCTAGAAAAAAATTCTCATTAAGTATATATAATGTTTGAATGATCTGAGATCTTAAGTATGATTTCACTGAGAGTTATAATTTGATTATAAGATATAGCTATCTCCTTTCTTTTTTGTAGGCTTTATTCCCTTTGCTACTATGTCCATTGATAATAATAGTATCCATCTCAAAGAATATCTGGCACCCAATAAACATTCAAAATTTAGCTATGGTGGTAATGGAGGTGATTGTTTCTGGAGTTGTCTGCAGAAGAGAGACATTGTAATTTTTCAGAATGCACTTAAGTTTTAGTAGTGAACTAAATCATTGATCTTAAAAGGGTGATTCCATTCTGGTTCAGTCAGTGAATTCCTCACTGATCCTCTCATTCCCTCAGTCCCTTTCTGACAGGCTTTGTTTCAGCACATTTCCCACCTCCAACAGGTACAGGTTCTTGTTGTCACTCGGCGGCTTCACCATTCCTGGGACCAGAACCATCTTTCGTGTTGAATTGATTTCTTTTTTCTTTCCCATTCAAACATCATAGAGAGGCTCAATTTTACCATTTATTTTTTTTTATTTTTATTTTTT